AAATGCAATATACTTTAATTTCGATCAAATTTCCTTTGATTGTACAGTCAATACCTTCTTCAGATAATTTGTTTATCACTTCAACAGAAAATTTTAAAAAAACGTTCATATCTCGTTTCGATTTATTGAACCATAGAGCGCAAGTAATTAAATTATTCATTCTATTCTGAAGTGGTTTTTCATTTATCATAGTAAATATAGGCCACACTGACAGCGGGGATGATTTAAATGGTGTGCACCGTGACGACTAAATGTCAAAGAAACATATCTAGTTTGTAATTCAGAGGGTAATTTCGAAAAAAATTCACGATATATTTCACAATCATGTATGGGGCTAAACACTATTTTTTAGCACCTCGCGGAAGTGACCAAAATGGCCCGATTGCTTAGTTTTTAGATAGCTTGCAAAGACTATAGCTCAAATAAAATTACCTCAGCTTTCAAGTGATTAAGTCAAAATTGCAAAACTTCATAACCACAAAAAAGTAAACTTCTAGAGTATAACTCCAATCGACTTTTAGAGTAGCTAGATCGAAAAATCTCACGATTTTACTTCGAAATCAGTCTTGAAAAAAGTGGGTATTTTCGGATTCTCGAGCGGTGAGGAGGAAAGAGCATTTTTCGAGCGTTTTGGTAGGTTATTCGGCTAGCTACTACTCTCCTTACTTTATTAATGCATTAAATTACTCACACAAAAGTAAACAACAATATAATTTCGATGTATTTTTATCACAACTTTTTGATAGTGATACTTATTTTTGGAAAAAATGATTTTTTCAATGATATAATGCAAAAAATTATTTTTCAATATTCAGTTACAGTGCCAATATCAAATCTTTGAGCCATGTTTATATTTCGGAGTGATAAATAATAGGAATTATGAATATTCAGAATGTGTAAAATTCTGAATGTTTGAAAATCAGAATATCAAAAACGGAACAAGAAAACTTTAGAAAAACAAAATTTTTTGATGGTGTAGTTAGATTTTAGAAAATATACTTTTTTCAATGATTTATTAGAAGAAAGCGTAGATAAGAATGATTTGTTTTAATATTTAGGGCGATCAGTGAAAGTATTGTACTTTTATTTTACAAAAAGTAAAATTATAAAAATTGTTGTTATTGAAGAATTTAATATAAAATAATAAATGTTCGTTAAACCACTTATATATAGTATGAAATAATATGCCTATAAATGAAAATATATGAACATTGAGGATTAATATTACATTTTTTTGTTTATGATGTTGAATTATGTTTTTAAAATATATCTCTAGTTCCTTTTATTATTAAAATTCATCCAGAATTCATATATATTGACTTGTCATTTTTAAACTCTTGATTGAACGCATGATTTTGAATGTAGTATTTAACGAATTCTGATCCTTAAAGTCTCAAAAGTTTTTTAATAAATTTCTTTTCCACTTACTTATCTGCTACGCTTATGTGGAAAAGAAATTGTTTCTACATTCTATGTAGAAGTCATGGATTTTAGAACTGTTTTTCGTAATCAAAAACTGCAAGCTATTATTAAATAAGATATCAAAAATTTATAACGACAACGAATGATTAAGAATTTGAGCGACCACTCATGTAACTTTTTTTAAAATGTTCACTCATTGAACAGAATTCTAGCTGACGAAAATTTCGATTCAATAGACATGAACCCCGGCATTCGAAGTCCAAGGTTCCCGAATAGAGACTCCGATAATTTGACTTAATCCGATCTGCTGCTTTCATCGTTTATTGCATGTCCACTCGAAAGACAGATTTCTGGCTGACGAAGATTTTGAATGGAAAGGGTAGAACCGAACCTTTCAAGCTCCAAGGATCCAAAATAGAAACGTTGATACCTTGACCACTTTTGCTTTTAAATCATATAATCACAGATCGAAAGATCAGGTGAATATGAAGGTCAAAAAATGGGTCTACCCAGCCCCATACACTGGTTCGGAAAATTATGATTCAATAACGCCGTCGTTTCACGATTATTATGAGGTGAAGCACAATCTTGCTGCCAATAAGTATTTGGTGCGACTCTCCTCAATTCAGGTAAAAATATGCGGCGTACAAATTCTGTGTATATTTCTAAATTAATGGTTGTTTCAAAAAAGTACGGTCCAATTATTTGATCGTGAACAATTCCAGCAAATACCATTATCTGAAATATTAAAAGTAAAATTCTAATTAGCAAAGTAAAGTAAAATCAGTAAAGCGATAAGTGAATTTAGATATAAATGTGACAAAGAGCGCAATCTAGTGGCAGCTGTATTAAATCTACGCGATCTGTTGAAGAAAAGTGTCTTTGAAGAACTTTTAAGAAGAAAAAATCGTTACAAACAATGTTACGAAGACTTCGTTGGCCCCGAAGAATTCGAAAATTAGATAATGAAATACCGGCTGAGTAAGATCAAAAAGCGCCTTTCCTCAAATCTTGTGCACGCACAGATACAACGATCATAAACACACTGTAAAGCAGTTGGCTGATCACCGACACGCGCGTCCTTAAAATCTTGCCCCAGCTCCTCAGCGGCATAGTAGTACTTTACGATACAAGTACCATAAGTAACACTTTTTAGTGCAAACTTGCACGACGTAGTTTAGGGCCCGAGCGCAGCAAGGGTCCTAATAGCCGGGCCGAAAAGTGTCCCCATGACACGAGTATCGTACTAGTTATTTATGTAACAAGTGCCCAAAAGGCGTTTTTGGGCACGAGTGTGCGGAAAAAGACACGAGTGCCGGCTATGCCGGCACGAGTGGGTGTTTTTTCCACACACTGTGCGCAAAAAGCTGGGCACGAGTTGCATACAAAATTTTATGCAATAGTAGGCGAAAAATACGTTCATTTAAATGAGGCGTTTTACCGCACACCCATGTCCAAAATGAGGCATTTTACCGCACAGAAGTGTCCAAAAACGCTTTTTGCGCACTAAAAAATGCGCGAAAAAAGATATTTTTCGTCATACTATTGCATAAAGTACTATTTTTTCACTTTTACCGTTTAGTAGTTGAAATATAAAAAATAATTATGCCCCCTGTTAGCCCTTAAGTAATTTTAAATACTATAAATAGTAAGATTTAAGAGCAAAAAATAGGTGAGTGAAGCGCACTGAGAGTGGCTAGTAAGTTTTAATGATTGCATTGTTAGCACAAGGCATTCTCAGTCTCTCATCCGAATCTTCTACAGTCATAATTTTTTCCGTGTATGCGGATAATAAAGATGATAGTCACAAAGACGAATGCTCGCTTGATTTTCATTCGAACAAAGACTGAAAAAATCCGTCCAGAATATACTGCAATAGCGAGTTACACAACAGCAGCAAGAAAGAGGGCTCAACTTTCTTTCCTTCATCGTCATTCATCGTCATCAACGAATCTCAAGCATCAACGTGAGCTACTGGGTACAAAGATACAACAAATAAGCAGCACCGTATACATACGTGCGCTCCTTTCGGCACACAACGACCCTTTTTTTCCTCTTTTTTTTTATTGTTGCAGATGTGCACGAACTCGCGTGTACTCGACAAATCGTTGCTTGCGCGTTGTGGCAGCAGGAGTGCACCCAAATCTCTCTTGTGCTTTAGGGCAATGTCATTGAGTGGTATATGGTTCATCCTCCAGAAATCTGCTTATTACGTGTCCACGTAACACATTTCTAAACAATCACAAGTAAACACAAACTTAGTACGTCGTTTTTTCAATATTACTGTGTTCGCCACTATTCCACGAAAACATTTCAAAGGTTTAATGGCAATTACACATTTTCTATTAAGATAAACATGCGAAATTTCCTTTTCATTGGCTGTTTTCATTAAAAAATTTGATAAAAAATGCAATTATTTTTATACATTAAGTATTATGGCCCAACATTTCATTTTTTATTCCTGCTCTACTTATAGCGATATAACTATTGCATTAGTTCATTTGCATCTTTAAAAAGTCAAGAGTTCGGTAAATTTTTTTCTAATTACAAATCGTAAAACTTTCTGAAATGTGGGAAATACCCTTCTCGATTACAGACGCGATTAATTCATTAACTAAAAGAGTCTTAGATACGAGTGTTTCTATTCGACGGCCGTAGCGTATGCGAAAACGCGTACTGCACCGTCCAACTAGCCCATAATTTTATTTTCTTGTGGTGCGCAAACACGCTTTTCACGTTAGCTAAGGTCACCGAATAGAAACTCTCGTTAAAAAATATACTGAAAAAATTTACAATTATCTAGGAAATGTTGAATTAAAATACTTTCAGGGATAAATCAAATTCAAAAATTTATATGGAAAAGAAGCTATCCTTATCAAAACGAGCATTATACATTTTAATTCGTTGTTCTGTTTCAGTTGTTCAGTAGCAATACGTAGCAATTTTATACATAAACCTCTGCAAGAATCATAATTAATTTACTACAACAAAATCAAAAATTTTATAAATTATGATTTGTATCCTTCGCACGCAGTAACGATCAACTTAAATCTTGAAAATCTACTCAATAGTAAAAAATGATATCTGTAGATCTCAGATATAACATTGACTTCAACTTAAAGATTACAAACGAAACAAACTAATCGACGCCAACCGAATTTGAAAATTGTTCGTTTTTTTCAATTCTACGTTTCTGAAAAATAAGCAACTTTCCAAAGAACGAACCAGGTACGTGTTCATACATGCAATATATGCATGTGCAGCGAGAGATCGAGGGATGCGATTTTGCATTTAACGTGCACGTATAGAGCCTAGCGAACGGAGAGCGGGGCCGCGCGCGTCCACCCCATGCGGCCTCGTCAAATCAAGGCTTGGCGAGCGCTCGGCAGACTCCGCCCTCCGTCGGTTTCTCCGGCACTGTGCGCACGCGCTTCCTTTTCGACGTTGCATTCTCCGTTCGTTCTGTTGTATATACATACGCATATATAGCAGGCCGCGATTTTGCATCCGTCGCTCCCGCTGGCGTATAGCTATACCCTTCAGTTTGCACGCGACTGCTTGCCGGACAGCATCGTAGTTCTCGTCGCGCCTTTTACGCGTATTCGCATTTCTTTATTGAAAGACGGGATACAGACCGCTAAGTTCAAAATTAACGTCGACGCGAGTTAGGTTTACACGGAAATCGGTTGAAATGACAGGCTAAATCAAGTGCAAGAAAATTTTTTCGCGATAGTGTGACATTGAGCAGAAGGTTTAATGTGTGCGGGGAATAAAAACATAGAAAGTGTTGATCGTCGATACAATTTGAATTGATTAAAAAGTGCAACTTAACCGTGTTCAACATGTCCTCCACCAATAAACAGCGGCATCCAAGTTTTCGACAAAATTGAAGTTTCATAGGCCTAAAAGATCAAAGCCAAGCCGAAGGCGGAACGTCATACTCATACGATCGCAATTACAGCTCCTCATCCGTTCGACATGCGGCTTCTGACGATTTCCGAGCTAGTCGCGGTTTCATTGTTGCTTCTCGCCGTTTTGCATAAAGGAGTTCGAGCGAATTGGTGGTAGGTCGATAAACCTTTAAACTTGTTTCTATCTGTTCTTCTTGTGTCTGTTGTCTCTCTATTCTTTTTTTTTCTTTTTGCCAATTGCTGTAGTCACGAATCAAGACCATTGAATGCGAAGACTCGATTTCAGAAATGATTATGTAGTCTATAATTAATTCAACGCAAACAGCGACCATTCATCTCATGTTAACCAAATTGCGTGCTAAACTTTTTTTCCGCGCGCGGACCCAAACCCTGAATAAAAGAAATTTCAGAGATAAACTTATAGAAAACAAGTACATAGTGGGTGTGATCTCGTGTGCCAACGCTGCGTAAATCTATCAGCGAATTATAGATGCACGAGCGGCAGCTTAGTCTCACATATGCATAATATACATTTATCGAAAAACAAAAGTTAAAAGGAAAAAATACGTATAGAATGTAGTATCGCGCGAGCAGCGCATGGCTCATTTTTATTATACACCGACAAACTGGTTTCCTTATAGTTCTCTCTCGGGCACATCTGCGCGCGCTCCACGGCAGATTCGCGCGCCGTTTAATCGCCACCGTCGCCTATATTTTTTTTTATACATACATATTAAGCGTGAGACGACCGCATCTCGGCCGCACTCGGCGTAACGCTTTGTGTAGTAGCCGCTTATACTAATGCCTATATACTCCCTTATTAAACAAAACGAGGCAGGCTGTGATCGAGCAACCAAAATATCTCTTCGTCTGGCATGCAGCTTTGATTGACTTATCGATCGATCGATCGGCCCAGTGGTACCTGCGCCGCACCGAGGAGAGAAAGGGAGAGAGCAAGTTGAGAGATCCGAATCGATTGTTGCGGCCCTTTCGGATGGATATAGTATATACACGTGAATACGGCGCACCTGTAATCGTGCACACGATATAGGCGCGAATAATTAAGTACTCGAATATTGTACACGAGTTAACGGTCCGCTCTATTACGTTATCATGTAATGAGCAGCACGATAATATTTATACGCGCTTCATCTCTCGCACGCACGTCAAAAATCTGTATGTTTATCGCGCTAAACGTACTCGAGATCACGCGTGTAATCTCGTCAATTAATTAGCGCAATTAGGCTCGGCTATACATGGCAATTAGTCCGCGCGGTCCGCCACGCGCACTTAATGCATGGATACGCACGGACTAATATCCTACGATACATACACAGAGTATATATTTGTACGTCGCACGAGCCAAGATTGTCCCAAGAGATGCAGATATCGGCCGGCGCTGCTCGCAGAAATTTCAATTTCTCGTCGTCGTCCTCGTCGTCGTTGTAGTCGTCGTGCTCGAGAATCACGTCCGGAAAAAGATAATTAAAAAGATAACTGCTCTGCGACTCACCCTTCTCTCTCTCTGGCTCTCTATTATTCTCATGCAGGAGCGATGCGCGTCGTTTATTTATTTTTATTGCGCCTCGCTCTCCGCGCGTATACATCTCTTCAACCCTCTCTCGGCTTTTTCGGACGTATATCTCTTTGCAGAGGCGAGCAATCAAACTAGAGAGACGGGGGCATCTAGATAAAACGATACCATATCTTTTCTCTTACTCTCTTTCTTTGTCACAAGCACGGCTCACGGCTTTCAAGCGCAGTTTAATGCATAGAGACGAGCGAGCTTATGAAGCGATCGGTTGCATCGAGATAAGCTAGCCCGAATGAAAAGTCACGGAAAATAATATAAACTCGAGGCATGCGCTATGTTGGAAAATTAAAGTTCTATGACTTCAAGATTATTCACAGTATTTACGATCGGTAACCTATATATTCTCTGGAAACTCCTTGCCTAATTCACATCTGGATGCCTATTGTCAGCCACCGACATTTGCGTAAATCAGAAATATCGTTTCAACGAAAATTTCCGCTCAACAAACTACGTTATAAGGAAGAGTATCTTTTGTCGTGCGGTGCTTCGTGGCGTGTGTGTGTGTACAGGCCTCCAATAAAGTCGCAAAGTTACGATGCTGTTTCGGAAATTTTGCTCACTACATATATAGCATCCCCTGAGATTTCATTTATTAGAACAATGAGGCATCGTCGGCAAACGTCTTCTCCCTCTCTTTCTCGCAGTATAGATGAAGCTATGAAAAAGAAAAGACATTGCTGAGATTGTAACACAAAAATCGTATCACTTAGTTACAGTGCATTAGATCTAGGTGAATATGCAATTTGCATTTCTCTTTTTTTGTAAAGATACATTTCAAGGGCGTATTTTGAAAATTATTTAAGGTATGAAAATCACGAATGAATAGATAACATGATGAAACTTTTCATAGATTTTTTTTATATTTCAAGCTATCAAACCCTTATAAAATTTTAACAATTAAAAAACACTGTACGATTATAAAATGATAGTTTCAAATAGCACGTAAAGTAAGTCAGCATAAAGTTCAACGATTTTATAAGATCTTCAAAGTGACTTTCATACTTTCAACGACGTTAATGGTCGATTAAAAAAACATCATTCATTAACGAGTGGCATAAAACCGCACACTATATCTCGATACATATACGTAAACACAAAGAGTAAATAAAGCAACATTTTAATACGTTTCTCTGCGCTTCTTTCTCACTCCCCGCGTACATATACACACACAGACACATAGCTTCTGCCCGCGCGCTGCTCAGGCATCAATGTAATCCCTTATAAGTATAAGCATAATAAGCACTTCTACATATGCGTAGTAGTAGTAGTAGTAGTAGTAGCAGTAGTGGTAGTGCTAGTGGCAGTAGTAGTGGTAGTAGCGCAAAGGAGCGTGTAAAGCTGAGCATTAACCAAGCAACCATAAATTTTTACAAGCATTTATTATCCTGCATTAAGCTTCCGCACGCGCCCACGCATTACTCATTTTCCAATGGTATATTATAAATAGACAGCGCGCGTACGCGTATTTACGTTGATGCGTTACGTGGCTAATGGTAATATAGAAAAATATTTTGCAAAAAAAAAAAAAAAAAATCATACACGCTTGCGTGGCCAGTGCAGCAGAAAAAAAAATCGACGCTCGCTGTGCGCACAACGCGCCAGAGTGTAATCCTGAAACGCATCAAGAGCATTGATATCGGGTGCGTGAATATAAAAATATATGAAACGTCCGTTGCAGACGAAATGACCGTGGCGTTGTGGGCTGCGTCAAGGATTAGCTTTTTTAGTCATGCAAAGTACGCGAGCGTACTCTCGCTCCTGCGTATACATATAACTCTTTCCTCGCAAGTCCTTTTAAAAGCTCGGATATAACGAAACGTTAATGTTGTATTTTTTCCACAGGGTGTTTTAGCCATGAAAAGTAGCACGTTTGATTTCGCCTGCGTGGCCGTTGATTCGAATATTCGCGAGGGTGGATAATTTGTGGTCCATTTTTTGGAGCCAATTAATGCTACAATAAATAAATGGACCGAAAGGTCTTTAATTTTTTATCGGCATAATTATTCACAAATTATCATTAAGCTTTTTGAATCTTCTGTACTTGATCGACTTTAAATTCCATTCGCAATCATCAGCAAACCCAAGCAATGAAATCTTTTATCACCTGTATTGCCAGTCGAAGCTCATGATTAAACATTGTCTACGTCACCGTACGCTCATTTTACAATGTCAGTAGCATGATTTTCCCACCAATTATGACAATTATTGGCGACTCTCGACATTATCATTGTTAAAATTAACCATTAAACTTTACGACGATCCTTTCGTGTGCGTACACAAAATTACGAGATGGAAAAGCGAATTAAGCATCATTGAGACCTGCAGTTGCTCGATAGATGTTACGACTCGAGGCGATCGTTAACGCCCACGGTTGCAAATAAAAATGAAAGTTAGCTCGCGCGACGCGACTCAATTGTAAAATACATATAAAACGAGTTGACCCAAGACGATAGCCCCCGGAGAGAGAGAGAAAAGAGCCAATCGAGTCCCCATCACATTGTTAAATGCCCCTGAAAAATGTGCCAAAGAGAGGATGTGCGCGGCGGTATATCATCGCTCGAAACGTTTTATAACGTCATACGCTCGTCGCGCGCGCTCTACCATTATCGTGGCCTCAGATGAATTCAAGAGATGCGCAGTGTATAAGGCTCATTTGAGCGTTGCAAGATAAGCGTAATATATCAGTCTTAATGAGACTCTGCATCGCTTCCAGTTGGCAATGTCAATTGCATCGATCATCATCTTCCCGTGTATCTCTCTTATAATCGGAAACTATTAAAATTAGTTTTTTCATGACTTTGTGATTTTATTATAATTTAGAATAAAAAAATGTTGAGATTTCGAGTTAATTTTATTGAAATGAAAAACGCAATATAGCAAGGTATTTACAGCAAACCATATGCAAAAATAAAAAACGAAAAACTCCGACAATAGCTTCATGTAAAAAGAAAGAGTTTTGGATATCACAAGTACGGAATGAAAAAAAAAATCTAAAATGTAGATGCAAGCTAAGCTTACGGTAGGCTATCCAAGTCGTCAACGAGATTGAAGTCATTTCTAGGCGCATGCACATCCCTGTACCAACAGCTTTGGGCTTTTATGCGTTCACGTATGCGCATACTTTGCGAGTGACTCTAATACGAAGGTACACAGGAGGCAGAGAGACACGGTCTAAGCTTTTTCCATCCGAACAGGATAACGATATCTAAAAATTCAACACTTCGCGAAATGGATATTTTTTTTATACGGGAAGAGAAAAAAGTCGCGTTGATACGCTCAAAAGAAAGCGCAGCGTACGCGTAATCGCATTTACACTGAGAATATACGGACGGAGCGGCTGATGCCCCAAAAGAGAAAAGGCGCGCGGCATCGAGTTTTAAATCAGTGCGTAAATATAACCTACGCGAATTTCATATATAAATAACAAGGGCAATTTGGTGGATTCAGAGAAGGCCATAAGCCTTATGTTCCTCGTAAGCGTAGCTCTCGTCGGCTGCGTCCCGAGAATCGCTCGTTCGAATACCTGCGCCGAGCTCGCAGCGTATACAGAACACATATA